CAGCCGACCAGGGGGCAGCTCGACAGGAACTGTGGTCGACCAGGGGCACCTGGTGGTCGACCAGAGGCACCCGATGGTCGACCAGAGGCAGTGGTGGTCGACCAGAGTACCTGGTGGTCGACCAAGTCGACCGGATAACCTGCTCTACGAGTTCTGCGGAGGCACGCGAATGTCGTCGAGGTCGCAATGGCGATGGCGACTTTGGGCTGGTATCCCGAAGTTGATGTGGCTCGTCAGGCGCAGACAACAGCCGACGGATGCACAGCAATGCAAGTCGGGCCAATCGTCTGCGCGCACCTGCAATCATGCACACTGCTATCTTCTACGGGGTAACGCTGGACAGCCGCTCTGCTGCAGCGTTGGCACGACGTCGACCTGCAGTGTTGGCAGGTCGCCTTTCTGCTGTGCTGGCGCGGCTCCTCTACGGAACGTTGGCAGGCGGTCGACCAAGCTGTGGTGGCGGTCGACCAAGCTAGCTACAGAGTTGCTAGGTGCCTGATGTAGTCACTGTTGTCATTCCTTGTACGACCTTTTTCTGTAATTTCGACTTTGCCAAGTGGAAACTTTTGCCAATCTCTCCCATGAATGTGCAAGCGCTAAGGAACTAAGCAGAGTTACGATCACTCCTAGTAGTTCGTGCCAACCCCCGCAGTCTAGCTCACCATCGTTGTAGAGTGAATCTCCGCAGTCATAATGGTCCCGCGCAGGTCGACCATGCGGAGCGTCACTATACAACGGGAATGGATTTTGGAGAAAGGCACGGGGTTGTGCGAGTGTTCGTAGTGTTGCACTAGCGTTCTCACTACTTGTTGTGCTCACAAAGGAATTTGGCAAGAAATTGAAAAGAACATTGATTGTAATGAAAGATGGAAGTCGACATAGCCAGAATGACATTGCAACACCTGGCATTGCATATTGGCACGTGTCGACGGTTTCGCCACCCGTACATCGTCGAGCACGTGATGCCGTTCCGCATGTCGACTTCGCGAAAACCTCATTAACGGCATTCGCCCACACGACGGATTTCGCTGTCACGCGACTTCCGTCAATTAGCTCGACGAATGATCTTTCAAAGAGCTTTTGCCGAGACGAGCTCGTCGAGCAGGGCCCGTCGACCAACACTCCTAGACGGGCCTCGTCGATCAGCACCTCTCTGCAGGCTCGTCAACCAGCATACTGTAGAAAAAGGCCGATCCGTCAGCTGTAGTTATATAGGCTGTACACATCCACGCGAGGTTTCTTGCAGCGCAGGGAAAAGGGCTCGACTTGAGATGGTAAAACGTATACAGTGCGATCTCACGAAGGAACTATACCAGATTTTGTCGAGGAAAGGTTCGCAAAGTAGGGCGACAAGGTTTAGAGGTAGAAGATATGAAGATGTTCGGCCAAAAAAATATGGGCTAAAACCCCCGAACCTTTGGTTTTGTCTAATTTCGACAAGAATAATAGTACGCCATAATGTATGGAGTTAATGATAAGACATGGTATAAGCGCAAGGCTTTCCATACGACTGAAGGTATTTATATGAACACAGTATAGGTATGCACTTATTTCTGACTGAAGGTATTTATACCAGGTAAATGCCACACTTTCACAATCGGCACTCTGAATGATGCATTGGTGTGTATGAGTAACAAAGGCGTGTACGTGATAATGACTAATCTGAATCACAGTGCAGTGTAGGTTTTTCCCATCGCTCGCAAGGGATTGTTTGCTGACCGTGCCTGGCCAATGAACGCCTGGAAGGGATTGCTCAGTTGAACGAAAGGGTTCCAACCTTCAGCAGAGCAGTGCATTTCTTTGCTTGCAAATTTCAGCTGGTATCCGAGATAAGGACTTCATTCCAATCAGTCTACAGACTTTCTGCTGTTCAGTCTTCATCTCAATCAAGCTGCCATCATGTCGGGTGTTTTCAATGGCGATGAGACTGCTCCCTTCTTCGGCTTTATGGGGGCTTCCGCAGCTCTCGTTTTCTCATGTAGGCACATAGCGGCGAAATCTTTGCTTGATCCTGATCCGGGCATTTTCACCCAGATCCTTCGCATTACTGTGCTAATCTGATTCCGCAGCTTTAGATCCAAGCGTGTAACCTGTGCTGATGCTATTTAGCTTTGTTAACCCGTTGTTTCCACATTTTACAGGCATGGGAGCAGCTTACGGCACAGCGAAGAGTGGCGTCGGTGTTGCATCCATGGGTGTTATGAGGCCTGAACTCGTCATGAAGTCCATTGTTCCCGTTGTTATGGCTGGTGTGCTTGGTATTTACGGCCTTATTATTGCCGTTATTATCAGCACGGGTATTAACCCTAAGGCCAAGGCCTATTACTCTTTTGATGGTTACGCTCATCTGTCTTCTGGGCTCTCTTGCGGTCTGGCGGGTCTCGCTGCGGGCATGGCCATTGGGATTGTCGGTGACGCTGGTGTCAGGTGCGTATTTAGGGATCGGATCTGAGCAGATTGGCAAGGTGATGCATTTTTTCTGGTGTTGCGGTTTCACTTCGGCATTCTGACCCTTGGCCTTGTTTTTTTGCAGAGCTAACGCTCAGCAACCCAAGCTTTTCGTCGGCATGATTCTTATTCTCATTTTCGCTGAAGCTCTTGCCCTGTATGGCCTTATTGTTGGTATCATTCTGTCTTCACGTGCTGGCCAGTCTCGCGCCGATTAGGCACATGTTCACAATGACAGCTTTGCGGTTATCCTGAGTGTACCAAGCTTGGTTGCCCTTGTTCAGTGTTCAATATACGGAACTGTAAGGTTGGAAGTAGCAGACTTTCCTTGAGTGGTAGCTTTAAGTTGATGCTGGTAGTGTGTAATGACCACCTTGGTGGTGCTATGCGATTCGCTCGAACCCAGATTACCTCCAACCTGCCACTCGAACCCAGATTCTTATCTCACCGTGCACCAGTGTGCAATAAGGTAACTGTGGTTGCCGTGGTGGTGCATCAATTGTTAGTGGAGTGAATGGGTTCATTTTGCATGCTGGTTGTGGTCTGGAGGTTCTGGTCAGGAACCAGGATCCAGAGTCCTGACTGCAGCGAGCTTTTCATTACTGCATACTCGTCACAGCCGTTACAGCAAGGAAGCCACACCACGAGAGGATGAATAAGCTAAATGCTAACCAAGCCCATCCCCTGGCACCCCCAAGTTCCCCACCGGCGAGGTTGCGCCTCAAACCCATGATGATAACGAATACTACGGTGGTGCACAGGAAAGCTATGACTGAAACCTCCAGATTTAGAAGGTGTGGGACAAACAGCGAGTCGCCAGAAACTGCCTTCTCATAACCCGCCTTGATCAGCCATGCTAGGCCAAGACCCACGAAGACATTCACGGCATTTGAACCAGTAATGTTTGCGATGGCCACATCAGCAGAGGGTGACAGTCTGGCAGCCGTCCTGCTCGCGAGGAGGTCAGGCACAGAGGTCCCCTGGTATGGACACAGGTGGTTTGGGACAAGGTAGGAGAATGCAGGAAATCATTAATGTGAAAATTGAAAGAGCAGGCAATGAAGCAATAGTGGCGCAAAATGCTACAGAATTACTCAAGGCATCAGGAATACAACTGCAACTCACTCCTCAGAAAAACTTACACTAGCCACGAAGACAATGGCAACCGAGAAGAGGTGCAGGCCTGATGTGCACGCAAACAGCCTCGCGAACTCCTCAATCAGAAAAGAAATGCCAGCCATGAAGCACAGACCTGCAAGAGTTAACACACGGAAGTGAGCTTACAGCACATACCAGTACCAGCACATACCCAGCGCAGTTTGTTAGATAAAACGTACAGTAAACCTTTATCTGCAGCCCCTGGATAGCGGCTGTCTAACTCCACTCACAGAGGATGAAGGCTGGCCAGCCACGCATGAGGGAGGGTGGAGGGATGAGTGAGAACAGGAGCTTCCAGTAGAAGGAGATGAAGTGGATTCCAAGGCCCAGCAGTGACACGTCTCTCTGGTGACCTGACAGTGGGACCTGAGAGATATTCAAAACGCCAAACAGAGTCAGCTACTACAGCTAGAAAAAGACACCCACTCAAGACCAGACGCATTTCAGTCAGCTGATATACGTAGCCTATAAGGCTGGGGTGGAATCATGACAGGGCAAGGTAGGATGACCTACCGAAATTGCCCTTTCGATCTGCTGCAGCCAAAGCTCGCCCAGTCCGGGATTGCTTGGAAGGGAAGACAAGGTCGGCTCTCTGCATGTGCTGAGCCCACCCAGCCCCAGTCCTGGTAAACAAAAGTTAGAAACTGAAATGGATTAACGCATGCCGCGAATGAAACAAAACACAAACGCCCAAACGCGATAGTGCAGAACAAAAGAAACAGCCATGTGCTGTGATAATTGGTTCAGCTTGAGGTGTTGGTTGAGAGCACAACAAGGGAGAGAAGAACATACCACACTGTCCCAGCAATGCCAAGCGCAGAGCCAGCACACTGATTGTCACCTCCACCTCCTCAATTCCCTCCCCTGCTTCCACTCGCACTCCCATGTGTAGCTGTGCCCTCACGTCTCCCTCCACGCTGCACCCTTCCTCCCCACACCCCCACCTCCGCCCAGCGCCACTTGTGTTGTCAAACAACAAAGAAGACGTGTACGCAGTGTGTGACTGTGTTGAAGCGGGTACCAGTGAAGCAACTGCTGTAAACCAAGGAGACTGTGATTGTAACGAGCGTTCCGTGGGGGTCACAGATGCGTTGACAGCCCCAGCGGATGCTGCTGAGCTGGACTGGAGCGGTGGTGACGTGGCATGGGGGTTTGATGTGGACGGCTGTCGTGCATGCGTGCAGATGCTGCTGGCTAGGGAAGGGTAGTGAGGAACGGTGAGCTCCAATTGAAGATGCAGCGCTTCTGCAGTGTGCACCCGGCTGGATGGGAGGGCAGAGTAGAGACAGTGGGAATAGTCGGAAATGAATCTACAATCAGAAGGAATGACTGATCATCTGAGACACCCAGATGCATCGGATAAAACATTGGAGCTAATTTTGTCTGAGACTCACAAGTGGAGGGCCTGGACAGGAGAAGGGGTGGTGCAGCTTGCAGCACTGCTGCCGGCTCCGTTGGTGTTTGCAGGAGTGTGCTCAAACCGGCACACCTCCCTCTCTCCTGATTGCGCCAGCAATGTCCAGTGCTCTGAAACCCATGTGGGTTCATCGGGTTTAAAAGGAGTGTAGAACCGAGGAGGGGAAGCAAGGAACAGGAGCGGGAAGGGAAAGAATGTCTGAAATGAAAGCGCGAATATGGAGGGAGATGACTAGCAAGATGAGCACGAGAAGGCAAAAGTAAATTTCGATTTTGCTTCTGGGAAGAGATTGGTAACCGGAGTCCCCTCGTGAGCCCACCTTGTAACAGATCCACAAACTGCCCGCCGTCTGCAACCAGCCCCACTCGCTCATCACCAGCCACCCCTCCTCCACTTGCATGCCCCTCCGCCTTCTCCTCTTCCTCCCGGTGTTCCCTCTGCTGCCGCTGATTCTGCTGCTGCTGCTTCTGCTGCTGCTGCGCTGGGTTGAGAACGAGCGGGGCTGGGGAGGCAAGGGGTGTAGGTCGGACGGCGGGAGCTGGCGAATGAGAGAGGCCAGGGAGCTGTGAGCGCAGCCAGAGATGCTGCCCCAAACGGCGCGAGCTGAGAGCGAAACAGAGGAAACAAGAGCGAGAGTTGGGTAAGCGAATGAGCGGGACTTGTGCGGACACAGGATGAGAAGCGGGCATCGTTGTGAAGGCACAAGGGGGGAACATACCAAGGAACAGGAGAAACCTGTCAAAGCTTTAAGGCCAGTGCGGATCAAGTGGCTGGGCATGGCAACTGGTGAGATGAATCAAGAAGCGCCTCACTGAGCCACGTACAGGGACTGGTCGGGTGAGTCGTGCTGCATGGCAGCAGCAGTGGACATTCCAGCAGCTGACCGGCGCCGCAGGTTGCTACTGCTGGACCTCTGCGGCACTGCAGACACTGCTGTCACTGCCGGCAATGCTGGTGGTACGTTGAGGGAGTAGGACCTAGAGCCTGGGGGAGAAAGGGACGAGAGGGACAGGTTGTCATGACTATTTCGCATACAGTTGAGAGCCTGTACTGTGCATACAGGAAGAAACAGGTAGTACCTGGTTCAACTCTTCCTCCCTCAGCTGTGACCGGCTCCATTGAAATGCCCTCTGATGCTTCCTCGTGTTGCTGCTGCTGCTGCTGCTGCTGCTGCTGCTGCTGCTCGGATTCCACCCGCCCCTGTCAGCCCACCACCCACCCACACGTTATCCAACAATCAGCACATACAGTAATCAGGGTGCATGAAGTCTCAAATGCCCAGCTCACAGCCGCTCTCCACATCCTAGCCACATACACTCGCCACACCCACACACAACCACCACACACACCCAACCACCTCACACTCCCCACAACCCAACCCCCAACAGCCACACACTCACCACGTGCTCCCAGTCACTCAGATCCGAGCTCCCATGTGACCTCTGCCCACCCCCCTCCACCGCCTGCTGCTCCCCTGTCCCCTCCTCCGCGCCTCCCACCGCAATGCTCATGCTTGCTGCGTCCGCCCCCCTCTGCATTTCCACCTCTCCCTGCCCTCCCCCCACCACTCCCGAACCGTCACTGCTGCTCTTCCCCACCCCGTCCCCTCCTCTCCCTCCCGCCGCACCCACTGCTGTGCTTCCATAGTCCCCCCACAGCGCACGCCACCACGCACCAGCTCCAAACGCATTCCCACCAGCAGCAAGCTTACGGCCGCCCTGAGCAGCAGAGGGAGCTATCAGCGCCTGCCCACTGCCATAGTTCTTGAAGCGAGTGAGGGAGCCGCGTCGGGGCGGGCGGGGGGTGGGGTGGGGCAGGAAAGGCAGGGGCAGCCCCCAGCGCTGCCAGTGCTGCCAGTGCTGGTCTTGGGCGTAGGCGAGGAGGATGAAGAGGGGGAAGAAGAGCAGCGTGATGCATGCCTCCACTATGGTGACACGGCCAGGGGAGAAGACCTGCAGGTGACAGACAGCCCAGTTGGGAAGGGAGGGAACCATGCAAGGAGCAGAGCAGAGAGAGAACATGGTTTTTTTCACTTCAGCAGGACATGAGAGAAATGAGGTCTAAATGCAGGAGACCAAACGCATGAGATACAGTAGGACAGCAGAGGGTTACCTTGAGCACAAGTCGAATCCAGATGTTTGCGCAGGTGCTGCCTGGGAGCTTTGAGGCTCTCTGAACACACCTTGAGCACGAGCAGGATCCAGATGTACGCCCACGTGCTGGCTGCGAGCTCAAGGAGGAAGACACCAACGGCCTGGATGCGCTTGATGGAATGGGCAGGTGGCGTGACCACACACACGGCCGAGATGACCATCAGGTTGAACGCTGCTGAACCCAAAACTGTGCCCGCTCCCAGCACTGCAGTGAGAGGGGAAGGGGGAGGGGCAGAGGAGGACAGGCGAAGGAGGAGAGGCATCGTAGAACAGGCGGAGATGACCATCGGGTTGAACGCTGCTGACCCAGCACTGTCGGGCAGGAAAACGGAGGTGAGACAAACGAGGAGAGTAAAGCGTAGAAGACTGAGGAGTGGTTGACAAAAATGTGCTGCCTGTGACCATTCCGAGAGCAGGCGAACACGGGATGCATCGTGCACTAAATCATGTGTGACGCCCACACTCCAATCCGTCCCCTATCAGACACGTAGTCGACGCTCCCCCTTTTTCCCCTCCTCCCTTCTCAGTGCAAGGCCCCTGGTTGAGGTGCTTGAGGGCGTCAACAAGTCGCCCAAATCTCCCTCCCTCCTCTCCTCCCCCACCCCTCCCCCCTTGCTCGTCCTCTCACTGCCAGCCCTCTGGTTGAGGTATTTGAGGACATAAAAAACAGCGATGACGATTTCAGTCGACTCAAAACAAACCTCAAATCCTCCCCTTCCTCGCCCTCTCACCGCCAGGTCCCTGGTTGAGGTGCTTGAGGGCGTCGACAACAGCGATGACGATTTCAGGCGCGGATGTGCCGAGAGCCATGAGAGCGATGTTCACCACCGTGCTGTTCCACACCTTCTCCATCCGCCGCTCCTCCCGGCCCGTCTCAGGGTCGCGCCGACTCACCTGTGCAGAGGAAACAAGTCGGACAACAAAGGTTAGTGGAAGGCACAGAGGATTCATGCTAGTATCAAGTGAAGTACAGAAGCATAACAACCCGTATAATGGTTTCTCATCAGATACGTTGAAATATCGCCATGGCTTGCGTCGTCGAGATGAAACCCTCACCTTGGTGTACATGTTGGAGATGCAACCCTCATGATGGCGTACGTGCTGGATATGAACCCTCACCATGGCAAACTTCCTCAACATGAAACCCTGACCATGGCGTACGTCCTTGAGATGAAACCCTTACCATGGCGTACGTGCTGGAGATGCGGTCGAGGGCCTCCATGAAGACGCGTACGATCGCAGCGAGCCCCACGAAGCAGTACAGCATGCCCGCCAGGTACCACGCCGACCGCACCGCCGGACTCCATAGCTGCTCCGCGGGAAGCAGCAGGAAGCTGTCGCAGCTGGTTGAGGAGGAGACGCGCAGAGAAAAAAACGTCAGGATAAGCACGGCCGTCGTTCGGCCATGAGGGACGAGGCGATTGTTTACATGGCGACTAGAAACGAGAGCATAAAGAACGACGACTGTGGAAACGAGGCGGCGCGTTGTAGTTGTTGATGGTAATCGATCCTTGACATGTACAGACGACGGATGCGCACACGGGATTCAATACCTGGTGTTGAAGGGAATGACGTAGACGGAATAGCCGGTCGTGCTTCTCGAGGCGTAGCAGTCTTGCACGGCGTTGGGGTAGGACAGTTGGATGTCAGGACACAGCTGGCGGGACGACGTAATGTTCAGCCCAGCAGGTTCCGCCATCGTTGATCCGGTTGTCTGGAGATCCCACTACAAATTTTGCTCAAGTGATCATGTTACTTCTGGCGTAAAATCTCGCTTTTATAGCAACCGCAAGCACGGTAATGAGCCACACTTGTGCATTCAGACTAGATAAGCTGTCTCTGGTGTTTCCATCGTAAGTGCCGTTCCTCAGCAGACGCTGAATACTGTTTTTGCGTCTTGAGTTATGGAGGACAGACTGAGGGCCTCGGGTATTTCCGACACAGGGCGGCTTGGGAATTCGTGAACGTAGTTCATGCGAATTTCTACCACGAGACAGTTAAAAAATTGTCCTGGTGAACAGCACTTTCACCTAGATGTGCTTGCTGAATACAGCATCCTGCTTCTAAACCATCAGCTCAGCGGCTTATGAAGCGTATGGACTGCTGCTCCTGCGTGGTGGAGGAATGGCGCGAAACCCGGCGCTGACGACCTCCGTGGTCGTCAGGCGTCGCACGACAGGTGGAAGATCGCCAAAACAGCAGCCCAATTGGCATTGTCCTTGCGCAAAATCGAATGACAGACTCGGCAGCGATCCCTGACGGTTTCAGTTTCGGCTTTGACGATCGCAAACAGGCAAGGAGGGAGGGGAAAAGCCAAGAGACGTAAATCGTGACGGGAGACAAACCCAAGGAGAAAGGCAGCACCCAAGGGAGGACCCCAAGGGACAGAACTCGAGAAGCGAAGGGAGGCGTCAATTCCAAGAGACGTCGGCCTGCCAACAAATCTCGACCGCAGAGTTCCTTGCTTTCAGACCTCCGAGTCAACGCAAGTCCAAATAGTGCCACCCCACCACCTCCATAACTAGTTTCTTCTACGCGTCGCTTGTACCTAGGTCTGGATTAGTTCTCCGAGATTCACGGCTCACGCTGGGCCATGTTTGGTCTAAGCGTCGACATTTCCCGTTTCGTGTTATACATCGAGCTCTAGCGATGAGAGGCGTCAAACTTCCCGGCCGCTTAGGAAGCTCGTTAGCTCAATTAGGGTCCACACGGTACATCCATTGGTATTGGCTGAGTATAGTTTTGCTCCTGGTCACTTCATTCAATGTCGACGCCAAGAAACATGAAGTCCCGAAGGCAGCCGCCCCAGAGGAAGGTTCGTAGTTTCTGCCGCACTGCCACCCCCTCGCTGAGTCGTTAGGTGCATTTTAGGCCTCCAATACTCAGTCGCCATTGTCTTTCCTCCGTCTCTCTTCGTCGCTAATTTTCACGAGCTTCCTTCTCTAGCTTAGCCTGACTAAAAGCGGTCCGCTTTTCCTGTCCCTGCTCCATTATTCCCGTCGTTCCTCATCGCAGCAATCGCGCTGCTTGCCTTCAAGGACCACCTGTACAGCCATCGGTCCTTAGACTCGTGGAACCTAACGGAGCAGCCTAACCACTGCGCGTGGGATGGCGTTAAATGCTCCGACGAAGGATACGTTAAGATTCTGTGAGTGCCTCGCGTTGCCGAATGGGTCTTGCGCCAAGTTTATCGACGAGGCGGCTTCCCTCGAGTGGGTCTTGCGTGCGCTCCCCATCTCATCGTCATCCGGTCCGTTTGAACGTTCGTCTCGCCCTGTTACCTCCTCGCTCGTCCCGATCTCGCGATTCTTCCCCGTTCCACCTCCGCAGAAGCCTGAAGCAGATGGGTCTGGTGGGGAACATATCGCCGGCACTCTCGAAGCTGTCGCGTCTTAAGTCCATCAACCTGCACCGCAACTACCTGTTCGGCTCCATCCCCTCCGAGCTCGCAGGGATGAAGTCCTTGCGCCAAGTGTGCGCTCTTCAGAACCCCCTTGTTTTCGTCGCAATGCAACTTCGTTCTCGCTCACTCTTATTCTCTTCGTAGTTTCGCATGTCGTTGGTGTTCGCCTGCCTCATTCGCCTTGGCTCCTCTCCCCCACCCACCACTCTCACTCCTCCTGCTCCTTGTCTCTCATGTATTTCCACGCCAACACCTCATTTTATCTCATCCCCGTCCCTTTTCTCTTGTGCCACGCGTTCTTGCGTGTGCTCGCTCCCACATCTGCGTCGATCCGCATTGCGTGGGCGTCCGTGTTGCCACAGAAAGCTGAGTTATAACAGACTCACTGGCACAATCCCTGCCGGCTTTGGACGCAGCAGCCTCTCAACCCTGTGAGTGACCGCTCCTCGCCATTCTCAATCAACCCATCCATCGCCGCACACTCCACCACAGCACATCTCCTGTCACTTGTCTTTCGACCCTGGCCACCACGTTCCCTCCATGTCACTCCCTTCACTCCGCGCCCTCTGCTCTCGTCTCCCCTCTGCCAGTTGAGTTGCGCCAGAAAGGCAGCCTAGTGCCGAGCCGAACATGTTCACTGCTCACGTACCTATCACAACGCGGCGTGCGCGTGCACGTCTGCGTGCAGGATACTGTTCAACAACAACCTCACAGGGCCCATCCCCGACACCTTCGCCAACGCCATCCGAGTCAAGCAACTGTACGTTCTTGCTGCAATCATGCCGCACGCACACACTCCCTGCTTCCACTCCAGCACTCTTGCTGCTCCTGCCCGCATCCGTTCCCTGCATCTTAATCCTCAAGGCCACGCACTCAGCAAATCAATCTGCCTGACTCTTTCCCTCATCGCGGCCCTGTCAATTCTTCTCTCCCGCCGATCCCCCCTTACCCGCATGTCCGCCATGGCCAGTCGCCTGGGGTACAATGACATCACGGGTCCCATCCCCACGTACCTGGGCGACTTCACCAACCTCTCCGTCATCTCGCTGCCCGGAAATCAATTCTCGGGCTCCATCCCGTCGCAGCTGGGCCAGCTCTCCTCCACGCTGCTGGGCCTCACGCTGGATAAGAACCCACTCTCTGGCAGCATTCCCGACGAGCTCTTCAACTGCAACTTGCTCCGCAACCTGTGAGTGTCTCACGTCCCCGACTCCCCGCCCTTGTTTCAAATCAAGTCAACCGAGCTCTTCCTCATTGCGTTCGCCCATTCATCCCGACCTCCCTTCTCTCCCTCCTACGTCCCCGTTCCACCCTCTATTCTGGTGCCATGCCACGCCAGGACTTTGAACCAGACGGGGCTGACGGGCCCCATTCCTCCGTCCATCAGCGCCCTTACTGACATTTCCATGCTAGACCTGGGCGGCAACACCTTCACCGGCTCCATTCCCTCCCAGCTGGGCAGCCTAAAAAAGCTGCGCCTGCTGGACCTCCACGGGAACAATTTCACGGGCAGCCTACCGGACACGATCGGGCAGCTGACGAACCTCACCCTGCTGGACGTGAGCTTTCTGTCGGGCATGAACGGCAGCGTGCCGACGACCCTGTCCGCCCTCTCCCTGCTGAAAAGATTGTAAGTCAGCCTCCTGATCACCTGCCACCACAACCTGGCAGCCACATTCGTGTTTTGAGTCAACCTTGCCAGTGTATTTAGGAATCAATGTAACTTATCGTTTTTTTGTGCGGGCCTGTCAGCCCCTCTCACAGCCCGTGCCCCTCTTGAGTTCCTGGTTTCGCTCCTCAATCGTCGTTTCTCAACGACTTTGCGTTGGGATTGTGTGCGTGTGTATGCCATGCCTGTGCGTGTAATCTATGTGTGCGATGTGCGTGACACAGGGACCTGACCAACAGCAGCTTCTCGGGTCCTCTGCCCGGGGGCCTCATTGCATCGCTGCCAGAGGGGGCGCTCTTCAACCTTTCCAACAACTTCTTCTCAGGGCCCATCCCCGACGCCCTCATGGCTCGTATCCGCGCCAACAGGTGCGCCACCATGCGCCTGCCCTGCTGCACCGCTCTGTCCATGCTGACTTTCTCCTCTTCCTCCCAATCCAGCCCTGCTTGCTCCCTTTTTCTCCGCACCCACCCACATCAACCCTTTCTCCCAAGCTCATCTCGGTGACCTCTTCACTGCATGCCAGCCTGTATTGAGCCCTCCGTATTCCGCGGGTATTGAGCCCGTGGCTCACGCTTCAACCCGAAAACATCGTACCCCTACTCTCTTCTGACTTGACCGTCTTGGAAGTGCAGGTCACCGGCGTCAACGGTGTACGGCAACTGCCTGTCGTCCAGCCTGTTGCCCACTACTCAACCCAGTTTACTGTACCCAGCCCTTTTGCTCACACCCTTCCCACCCAATCCGCCCGCGCAACCCCCCACCCCTTTTTGGAGCGCAGGTCACTGGCATCAACGGTGTATGGCAACTGCCTGTCGTCCAGCCCGTCGTCCCCCGTGTACCCCATGGACTGCGCCACCGTCGCTGACAACATCTGCTTCCTGCAGTACCAGCGCCCCGCCTACCAGTGCCGTGAGTCCCACCCGCACATTCCAGCGCTGTAACTCACTCTCACACATATCACCCTGAATCCCCGTTCACATATTTTCCTGCTACCGCATGCCTATCCCCACCCTCCCTCTCTTCCACTTCCCCTTTCCCCTCCTCTTTCCTGGTGCCTTCCCCCTCTCCCCTCTCCTTCAAACTCCCACCCCCGCCCACCCCCCCTCAACTTCCCCCGTCCTCCTCGCCGCAGTGCCATACGATGCAGCTCAGAGCGCGTTCTCTTCATCCTCCCTCAGCGTCGCTCTCACCATCACGGTGCTCGTGCTGCTCGCCGTGGCCGTGGCAGCGGGCGCCGCATACGCAGGGTTGAAGCGCATGCAGCAGGGCAGACCCAAGGCATTGGTGCCAGCGACCAAGGTGGTCGTCAAGGCAAAGGAATACAGTGAGTGGCCGTCTGTAGGTGAATGGGGTTTGGGATGGGGAAACGGGAGGAGTGGATGGAGGGCTGGCTGGTGAATCACCTTGATTGGTACTTGGCGACTCTCTTTCTCTAACCCTGCTATTTTTTGTGTGCTTTCTACGTCCTTTCATCCGTGGCATGGCATGGCATGGCATGGCGTGACATTGCATGGTGTGTGACAGAGGACGTGGAGACTGGGGAGCTCAAAGCGCCCCCACCAGACACCTACTTGCCAGGCATGCCGCCAGGTCAGTGTCTCCCTCGCACTACCTCCTTGCCTTGTTCAGCCGCATCAACGCTGCCTGCCTCATCACTAGGGCAGCACCATCTGCCTCTCACCTCACTGCCCCTCCACCCCCCTACAATTGCACCCTCCCACACTCCCATTATTCTACTCTCCCACCCTCCCACTGTGTCGCTCCCCCTTTCCCCCCCCAGACATACCGCGCTTCTCGTTCACGCAGCTGAACCACGCCACGGACTGCTTCACACACCTGGCCAACACCAACGACCCGCGCGCCATCTACGACGCCACCTTCCTCCTCCCCCCCACCGCCACCACCGCCACTGCTCCTGCACCTTCTGCTGCTGTTACCTCACCCGCAGCACCCGCCAGTGCGGCGGTGGCAGCGCCCAAGGTGGTGGGGGGGGGCGGGCAGGAGCATCTGTCGGTGCAGCTGGTGAGCTTCCCCGGGGTGTACCTGGACGCCATGAAGGAGGAGTTTGTGGCGCGGGTCAAGCGCATCCATGCTGCCCGCCACCCCTGCCTCTTTGCCTTCCGCGGCTACGCCTACGAGGACGGCAACTTTGCGCTTGTCTTCGAGCCCACAAGGGAGACCCTCTTCGACCGCCTCCACGGTATGCTGCCTCTCGCTCGCTCCCTTACCAACTCACCGTCCCTCACCTCTGTGCCTGCTCTGCTGCTCCTTTTCAAGTAATTCTGTGATATTAAAAGTATCGTACTCATAAGGCGTCCCCTCTCTTGCTTTCCTCCTCGCAACTCACAGAGGCCAGTGGAGCCCCACTGTCATGGAGGGAGCGAATGGTGATCGCCCTGGGAGTGGCAGAGGCCCTCGAATACCTCCACACTGCCGCCTCCACCCTCACCCACACCCCTCCCAAGGGCCCCTCCACCCCTCCCCACGCCGCCTCCGCCTCCCCCAACTCCACCACACCCCTCAACGACCCGCACACGCCTGTGCTCTCTGCCCACGAGGGCAGCACGAGCATGAGCGTGGGCGCGGGCACTCCCCTGGGGTCCACACGGGGAGGAGGCGAGCAGGCGTGGCGAGGCGGCATGGTGCATGGCGATGTGAAGTCGTGCAACGTGGTGATAACCGCTCACAGCAAGGGCAAACTCGCAGAATTCCAGGTCCCCTGCGACGACGCCGATGACCCCCTCCGCTCCATCTCCCCCCGGGGCTCCTTTGGGTACCTAGACCCTCAGTATGCGGACACGAAGCGGCTCACTGCAGCGAGCGACGTGTACTCGTTTGGAATTCTGCTGTTTGAGCTGGTGTCCGGGCGGAGGGCAATGCTGGATGACTCGAGCACGCTGATTGTGTGGGTGCAGCAGTTCTTCATGCGCCGGGATGACTATGCCGGCCTGCTGGACGGCGCTCTTGTCACCATGGGCGGCGTGCCGCCCAGCCAGCTCGTGCCCGTGATTGAGCTTGCACAGGACTGCACTCAGGTGAGACAAGAGTGGGCGGCACTGGTTCTGTGTGTGGGGCGAAGGGGGTTGTGTGGGGGTGAGTGTAAGATCACGAGAGGATGGCAATAAATTGTGGTCAGCCTTTCTTTTGCAGAGCAGTCTATGCGCCTGCCTCTTGCTTGTCCATTTCTCACTCCATGAGTTCCCCACCCCATACCTACCCCATGCTCCACACACTTGTCCATCCCACCCCGTGTGTTCCCCATGGCAGGTGAGGGAGGAGAGCCGGCCATCCATCCAGCAGGTGCGGGAGGTGCTCATGTCAGCAGTGGGCGTGGAGGGCGGGGAGGTGTACGAGAGCGGCAGTGTGGTGGGGTACGGAGATGGGGAGAGCGACACCACCATGAGCCATCTAGACGAAGGGCTCGTGGCCAGGCGTGCAGCAGACCACGCTGCTTTGGAGTCCGCTGCTGCTGCTGTGCTCGCTGCTGTGGCTGCTGGCGGGGCTGCGAGGCAGACTCTAGAGGTGTATGATAGTCGGGTGCATGGACAGGAGCAAGCCCGGCAGCAGGAAGGGGAGGGGGGGGCGGGGAGGTCGGGAGGGGAGATTGAGATAGAGATGATGAGTGAGGGGAGTGAGGAGGGGCAGGCGGTATAAGAGGTGGGTGAGTGAATGGAGTTAGGAAGGAAGGGCGCGTAGCAAGTGGCAGGAATGAGAAGCCTCGATAATGAGGCGACATGGAGAGGGAGGGAGTCCCGTGTACCATGCTGTAATTAGTCTTCTGCGTTGCCCTCCCAGCGCCTCAGATGGCACAGCACACCCAGCCGCAAAGCTCCTGCCAGTCCACCAGCCAGGGGAGTTCTTATCTGGTTTGCTTTCTTAGTATGTTGAAACCTTTTTGGAGTTTAGGCTCCGGGGGCCTAGGTGTGTCGAAGAGTTGCTGTGTTGGGTTGTGTGCTGTGTCATAAGGCAGCCATGGCTGGCTGTATTTAATGGTAGCTAGGTGTAGCTGTAGAGTTGACTTATAGAACACGAACTTGTAAACTTGTTGTCGTGTAGTGTAGTTCTTAGTGCAAGTGTAACTAGCAGACAAAGCCAAAGAAACATGGAGCCCAATTGAAGGGATAGATAAAGCTGCACATTCACACAAGCAATGCAGTATTAGCACACTGCCATGCCATCTCTCCTATCTCTCCTACCCAATGCTATTGGATTCCCTAGAAACAACTTTCTTCTGACTGCTCTTGATGAATTCCACATCGGTTATTACCTTACCGCACCACATACACTTGGTCGTGACACCCCACAGTGGCATCAGCAGCGGGGTTGGTGGCCACATAGGGCACTGGAGGGCCCCCCTGCCGTCCACCACGGTACAGCCCCACTGCCAGCTGCCCGTACCGCTGCAGCAGACCCACAAACAGACTCTCGAACGGGCCTCCTATGAACTCTGCTGGTACTGCCACAAGCACCAGCTCTCTCCTGAGTGGTGCAGAGCGGTGTCGAGGGTTGGGGTGGGAGTTGGATGGGGAGGTGCTGGTGGGGAGAGCGTTGGACGGAGCAGGTGCGGCAGTGTTAGGAGATGTGGGTTGCTGATGTGCTTGCTGCTCTTGCTGCTGCTGCTCCTGCTCCTGCTCTTGCTGTTGCTCTTGCTGCTGCCGGTGCTGCGTGAGAAGCTCCTCGGCTTCCCGTGGAGCATAAATAGCGCCGCCTGCAATGAGCAGGTCCGCCACTGCACTCAGGTTGCGGTTCAACAGGGCTCCGTGGCTGGTGGAGCGTGGGGAATGGAGGGTGGTTAGGGACAGAGGGACGCAGAAGGGAGCAGGTTAGAGAACACAGGTTGTTGGTCAATACATATTGTTATCAATTTCGGAAGGGAGTTGTTTGGATGGGCAGCTCACCTGATTGTCGATGAGCAATCTCAAAAACACCGATGAGGCCAATTTAAGGGCAGACGTCTCACCTGAGGGTTCACCTGAGGTTTCATTTAAGCCTGAGGACTCACATAAGAAAGAGCAGGCCAGCAGGGCAGGAGGCGCAACCGTCAATGAAGGCAGGCGCACATCGCAGCAGCAGTGAGTGGTTGATGAGAGTGGTGCGGCGCAGCACACTAAGGGAAATACTGTGAGGACTCACATGAGGAAGAGCAGGCCAGCAGGGCAGGAGGCACGGCCGTCAATAAAAGCGGGGGCGCAGCGCAGCAGCAGTGAGTAGTTGATGAGAGTGGTGCGGCGGGACACTCGCCACTGCCGCAGTGCTCCGTGCAGCACGCTGAGCGGCGGCAGGAACTGGAAGCTCTCCTCGTGCTGCACCTCGCACAGCACACTGCTGCTGTGCGCGCTCTCTGGGGGGTGCGAGGGCTGTGAGGGCTGCGTGGGGTGCAAGGGCGCTGTTGAGTCCGTGGAGTAGTGCTGGTGGGACAAGGAAATGGAAGAGGCGGTGCTGGTGTGGTGCAAGTCTGGTTGGAAGGCGGAGGAGGAGTGGGAGGAGAGGAGGCGGTGCACGGCGGCAGCGATCTGCACGTTCTCCACGTCCTGCGCGAATATGGATGGGTCCACCGCTGCCCCTGCTGTGCTGCTGCCCTCGCTCTCCTCCCCTGCTGCCCCCACCGTGCTGGGCGAGGCAACGGTGTCTGACGCCATTATTACGATCTTGGCTGGAAGGGGAAGACAGAGGACAGCGGGGAGCGGGACGACAGGCGGATGGAAGGGACGGGATGGGTTGGTTGTGAGGTGCCTCTATCGCAGATTGTGCTGGCCAAGGCATTGGTGTCAGACGCCATGATACTATATTGGTTGGGGGGAAGAAGGCATAGGCGCGCGATGGCAAGGGAGTGCACTGGGATGGCAGAGAAACGGCTAAGAGAAGAAAACGGACTGACTGGCATTGGGAGTAAGGCAGGCCGGGAGGGTAGGAGCACGGGCACCTGCAGAGAGAGCGCTGGCTCGAAGGAGGTCCATGGGGGAGATGGGCGAGCCCCTGACGAAGTACACGTGCTGATGGTGCCCCACACACCCCCACTGCTCGCAGGGACATGAGTTTTGAGTCGACTCAAATCTCACCTGCAATGAGAGCGCCGGCTCGAAGGAGGTCCATGGTGGAGATGGGCGAGCCTCTAACGAAGTACACGTGGCGGTGGTGCCCCACACACCCCCACTGCTCCTCACTCGGCTCGTGTAACCGCAGAAACACAATCGGTACACACCCCTCCACGCCCTCCCTCCTCCCTTCATCTCCCCCTTCCACATCATCCCGTTCCCCTGCTCCCTCCTTAAATGACCCGCCTTCTCCCTCTCCTCCTCCTCCTTCACCCCACGAGCCCTCATTCCTCCTAAGAAAGGTCACAAAGTAGTGAAGGGAGTGCGGCCAGCATTCGCCCTGCAGCAGCACCAGCACGTGCGCGCGGGGCAACACCCCATCAACAGCTGCCAGCGTGCGGCTCTCCAGGTGGGCCGCGATCTTCCTGCGGTTGCGCTGCAGCGTGGACGGGTGTGGGCGGGCGGGCAGGGCAGGAGGCTCTGTGTCCAGTACACTGGCTGCTGCTGCTTCCAAGCCTGCTGCGTCCACCCATGCTGCTTCCTCGCCTTCTGTTTCCGAGCCTGCTTCATCCACACTCCCAACTCCTGCTTCTTGCTGGCCAGAAGGGCCTACTTCTCCTGCTGCTCCAATGCTTTCAGGACCTGCTTCTGTGCGGCTACATGCCCCCACTCCTACGCCTGGTGCGTCTATACTCGAGCCAACTGCGCTTGTGTATCTGCTCAAGCCCTTTGGAGCAACCGTGTTGGTGTGAGAGCGAGAGTCGAGCGAGGCACTGTGAGAGGGTGCCAAGGAATGGCGAGAGGAGAGGGAGGCGCGCCGAGAGGAGAGTGAGGCGCGCCGAGAGGAGAGCGAGAGGCGGCGGGGGGGCCTAGCGGGAGGCCAGTCCAGGACTGCACTGACTGACGCCGCGAGTGCCAGTGGCTGGGGCGCTGAGGGAGCAGAGATGGACGAGGATGCCAGGGAGGGCTGGCGGGCAAAGCCCGTGGAGGAGCGGGAGGAGGGAGCACCGGAGGGAGCGTGGGATAGTGAACAGGACAGTGCACGGGAGGACACTTTTCTTGATATTTGCCGCGCCAGAGCCTTGCTCTTGGCCATGAGCGCCTCGTCATTGCCCGGCTGCTCTGCAGCATGCTCGCTGCTCTCCTCTCCCCCTTCCGCCGCCTCTCCCTCCCCGCCCAGCCTCTCCTCTTCCCCACGCTGGGGCGAGGAGTGAGGAAGGGTCACGTGCGAGGGCCCACGGGGCCATGAGGTACAGGTGGGGTGGGAGGACGAGGCCGAGGCGGGGCGGGTGGAAGGGGCAGAGCGGGAGAGAAGGAGGGAGGTGCGTTGGGAGGCGGCGGCATGCATGGCTTGGAACAGGTGGCGAGCCAGCGACTCCTCTGACAGCCACTCAGACATGCTGCGCCTCCTGCTGCTTCGCTTCCCCCTGCAGCTTCTTTCACCACTGCTGCTTCTTTCACCACTGCTCTTCCTATGGCTGCTTCTGTCGCTGCTGTTCTTCCCACAACTGCTCCTCCTGCTGCCATCATCCTCGCCCTCCTCCGCCTCTCCGCTTGCCCTGCTTCCACTCACCCGTTCACCTACTGCCTCCGCCTCTTCCTCCTCCTCCACCTCCGCCCCCACCTCCCCCTCCTCCTCGTCCACCTCCTCCTCCAATCCTTCTGCGCTCTCCTCCCCACTCACCCCCTCACCCACGCTTTCAAAGCTGATGTGGCGCCACGTCAGCAGGGCCTCTGCTGACCAGGCAGCGCTGGGAGCGCGGGCCCACGTGGCACACGCTTGTCCAATCAGCTGCATAAGCTTGGCGGCCTGGGGACGCCCCTTGGGAACTCTGAAGGGTTTGGTGCCACCCTGACGCCTCCCCCTCTCTTCCCAATTCTCCTCCCCCTCCTTCCAGTTCCCCTCCGTCTCCTCCTTGTCCCCCCTTTCCTCATGAATGTCAACAACTTTCTCAAATGTATCTTCCATATCCCGCCCTTCCCCACTCCCAGTGTACGGTCGGCGCATGCCGCCCCAGCTACCGCCCGCCGCCCTTGCAGACAGCGCATGCGCCGCCCGGGAGATCTTCTCCACTGTAGCAAGATCCGGCGCTATCACATGCCCCACGTCCCGCGGACCAATCACATGCCCCCGTGGAAACAAAAAAATCTTCCGCGAACTGCCAGTCCCACCATCCGCTGCCCCTCTCCCCGTTGCCCTCCCCCTCCAATCCCCATCCCCTCCTACCACCTGCCTCTCCTCCTCTGCTCCCTGCTCCCCCTCCGGCACGCCCTCTTGCCTCCCCTCCTCTCCACGCACACCAAAGGAAGCAGGGAAGATGGAGGAGGAGCGGACGAATTTCTTGAGGGGGTGCAGGCGGGGGCCATAGTGCACGATGGAAGGGGTGGAGAGCGGTTTTGAGGAGCAGGGGAGGGGGAGACTGTGGGGCAGACGCGTCTCAACTGCCGTTTCATCTGGCGTTTCGTCTGGCGTTTCATCTGGCGTTTCATCGAGGCAGATGTCGATTGCGAATAAGATGACTCGGTACGCGCGATAGATCACCTCCACCAGCTGTTGCACGGGCATGCCACCACAACACACAAGGAGGAATAATTAATCTCCTGAGACTTCCAGTGAGT